TAGAAAAGTTAACCGGAAGTTGACTTATGAGTAAACGAATTCGGATTTGGATTTTTATGATTCGGTTAGTTTCGTTGAGTGATTTTAGACTTAGGAGTGTGTCCGGATTTTAATTTAGAGGTCGGTGATAGAATTAGTCTTGAATTGGTGAAAGTTAGAAATTTGGAAAATTTGGTCGGTAGTGGAAAATTAGGTATCGGGGTCGGAATAGAATTCTGAAAGTTGGAGTAGGTTCGTAATGTCATTTGTGATGTGTGTGCAAAATTTGAGGTCATTCGGACGTGGTTTGATAGGTTTCGGCATCGTTGGCGAATTTTGGAAGTTTAGAAATTCATAGGCTTCAATCCGGGGTTGATTTGGTGTTGTTTTGGGTATTCCGGAGGTTCGACTAAGTTCGGGTAGCGATATATGACTTGTGGGAATTATTGGTTGAGGTCCCAAGGGGCTCGGGATGATTTCGGATAGTTAACGAGAAGTTTGAAAGTTGGGAAATGCAGCTGGAAGCTGCTGGTGTAAGGCTACTGGTGTGGCCGCACCTACGGATGGGGAGTCGCAGGTGCGATGATCGCAGGTACGGATGGCATGTCGCAGATACGGAAAATGGAGGCCTGGCATTGAGCGCAGGTGCGGAAGAAAGGATCGCACCTGCGAGCCCGCAGGTGCGAAGCTTGGCGTTTAAGTGACTTTCGCAGATGCGCACCTGGGACCGCAGATGTGAGTCTGCAGATGCGAGAAAGGGTTCGCAGGTGCGGAATCCCTAGGGCATAACCTATACAAGTTGCACTTCGTGTATTTTTGCCCCTTTTCCACCATTGTTGAACGGTTTTGAGCTTTGGGCAATATGTTTCAAGGGAGAATCACGAGACATCAGTGAGGTAAATAGGTTAGGTTTATTTACACGAGTTTATGATGTTTTTCCACTGATTAGTCATGAAATTAGTAGGGGTTTAAGGTGAAATTGAGGGAGTTAGGGCTTGAGTTTTGGAGAGTTTTAAGTGAGGATTTGAGAGGCCAAACAGAGTCTGATTTTGATGAATTTTATATGGTTAGACTCGAGAGAGGACGAGAATTATTATTCTATCATTTTTGACTGGTTTCGAGACGTGGGGCCGGGTTTTGGCCGATTTCGGATTTTTGGCCTATTTATATAGTTTTTCCGTTAGAATTTAATTTTTTAGCCTATGTTGATAGTATTATTCTGATTATGGATAGATTCGAAACTTTGGGAGACCGAGTCCAGAGACGAGGGCATCCCGGAGTAGGATTTTTCGCTGTTAAGGTAAGTAACAGTTTTAACTCTGGCTTTAAGGGTATAAACCCGAAGATTTGACATCACGTGATTGTTTGGAAGTGATACCTACGCTAGGTAACAAGCGTGTGGGGTGTGCACCACGAGGGATTGAGACTTGGTCCGTCATGTGAGGCTGTGAGGCCTAATGGATATTATCTGTGGTTATGTGTTTATTTGTTATTGAACTTGTTTGCCTTCATGTTAGAGATCATGCTTAGGCTTTATTCATGCTCACATTATTTGCACTCAGTCATAGATATTATTGTACATGTTTACCTCAGTCCCTATTATTTTGCTGATATATTGTGATACTTGACGTGGGTTGTGTTTCCCTTATTTGTTGATGATGGTGAGGCTAGAGAGGTTCATGACCGAGTGAGGCTGAGGGCCTAGTGTGAGGTATTTGATTGAGGCACATGAGTTGTCTGTGCAGCATGTGAGTTGTCCGTGCGGATCCAGGTATTGATACCATAGCGCGTGAGTTGTCCGCGTAGCACGTGAGTTGACCGTGCGGATCCAAGAATTTATATTATGGCACGTAATATGTCCGTGCAGCATGTGAGTTATCTGTGCTTAGCGCTTGGGCTTTGGGAGTCCCTCCGGAGTCTGTACAAACCCCAGTGAGCGCAGGTACCTATTGAGTGTTGAGTGCTGAGTGTCGAGTGCTGAGTGATGGAGTGACATCGCTGTGAGGTTGCATTTACTTTTGTTGTTGCTGCATTTACCTGTTAATTTCTTTGTGGCATTTGTTGGTTTTATGGAATTTACCTGTTTATTCATGTTTATTGTAAATTGTGAAAATAAATAATTAGACTATTTTGCTTAGCTCGTCACTACTACTCAGTTCCTTAGTTATTTCTATTACTACTGAGTCGGTTGTACTCATACTACACCCTGCACTTTATGTGCAGATCCAGGTGAGTTAGAGCGCTGCGATCGTTGAGTTCAGGCCGGCTATATTTGGAGACTGCAAGGTAGCTACTAGCGTCCGCAGGACCTTGTTACTCCTTTTATCATTTCTTCTTTTGGATAGTTAGACAGTTTATATATCTTAGTTCATAGTTTTAGACGCTCATGACTTAGTGACACCCCGATGTTTAGAGCTCGTTTTGTATTTTCTATAATTATATTTAGAGTTGATTTAGTTTATGAAAAAATCAAATGTTGGAAATATTTTATTAAATTCTTATAATCAAATTTGTAGTAATATTTTGGGAAATAGGCTTGCCTTGTATCACGATAGGCGTCATCACGACTATGGTTAGATTTTGGGTCGTGACACACACAAAAATCATAATGGTCGGAAAATAAATTTTCCGGTAGTATTTTCTTCTTTTAAGTTTTTATTTTTTATTTTTTAATTGGATTATTATGTATTAGACTGAAAATAAAAAATAAAGTATCACAAAATAAGAAAATACTACTAAAAATTATATTTTTCAATCACTATGATTTTTGTGTGACTTAGTAAAAGTTTTATGATTTTTGTGTGAGAAAATATAGTTACGTGACTTTGATGAAAAAGTCATAGTTATATGGTTTTTGTGTGAAAAAATAAAGTTATATTATATGACTTTGATGAAAAAAAATTATAATTATATAACCATTTGTGAAATTTTCATTGGCTTCAAAATTGAGAAAAAATAAGTTCACAAAGCTTAGTTTCAAAGGAAACTTGAATATCATGTTGAATCTTAATTGCATTCTGATGGGAACCCTTCGCTGTTGAATTATTCTCATAACGCAGACATGATATAACATGCTGAACTGAATAGAAGACATTTATTTTGAAATCGGGTAAACAAGAAGAGATTGAAAGACAGTTAACGTAAGAAAAACGAAATTCAACTAGTTCTTGAAAAATAAAATAAAAAGAAAATATTTAGAGAGACAGATCATGATCAACCTACTCTCCAAATTCCTTTAAGTTATTTTGTAGCATTTGATTGAAAACCCAAAGAATCTTAAAAATAATAAAAGAGGTGTGAAGTGTGAACACTTGATTTGGTAGGATAAATTGGAGAAAGAGTCAATTAATACGTACTACTCCTACTAGTACTTACTAGAACTAGTTAAGTTGAAAACACAATAATTTAAAAACTGGAGCCACCTAATAACTTTGCAATGCTGGCATCTTTAATTCAGATGTGACCTCTAATATTTCTGTGAATCTCTTACTGTACAGTACTATTGTGATTGAATTGATGTGTCTCCTCGATTGACAAGAATAGCACCAAATTTTCACCAAAACTAATTCAAAGAATTCATCTTTTGTATGGAAAAGTCAATATTATTATCTTCTCTAAAGCAGGGCGTCTTCAACCAAAAGGTTGGGTGGAATGGGATTTAAGCACCGAATGTTTCATTAACGAAATCAAAAGTTAAAAAAATAAACACGTAAAGAAAATAAGATAGTTTATCATTTAATTTATATAAATAAAAATAAACATACGTTTTGTGGTGACCATAGAAGTCGCTGCTAAAGTGGTTTGTCGCCACTTAACTTTCTGTGACGACCTATACCGTCGCTACTAAAGGAGGTATTGCATGTCGCCAATTATACACTGACAGCCTAATGTCGCCACCAAATGTTGTGTCATATATCGCCAATTGTATTAGCGACCTACATTCAGTGACGACCATCTATGCAAGGCCGGCTCAACTGTATCACAACTAAGGCTTGTGTCTTCAGCCCCAAAATTTGGGGAACACATTTTTTAGAAATATAAGTATTTGAAAATAATAATATTCAGTACTTTTAATACAAAAGTGAAATTTTTCTTATAAAAGAAAATAAAACTTTTTAGATATATAAACAAAGTACCCAATTGACTTATCTAAAAATTGGTTGATGAATAGTTTTCTGGACATTTTAATTTAAATTGATTTGACAATTAACTTTTTATATTTTTATTAGATAACGTGTAATTTTTTTCTTAATCTTCTCGTATTTCAAAAACTCCTATATTTTTTTTGTCTTGCTATTTAATATTCTTATTCAAATTTTCTGATCCAAGATTTCATTACTCACCTTCTATCTACAAAATTTCATTAGTTCAAGTGTTCAACATTACTTTTAAAATTTTAGGTCTCATATTGAACTTTGACTTTACGCCACATGTTTGAGCCGCCCCTGCATCTATGGATACTGCTACCGTCGCGCCACTAAAAGAGGTAATAGCGAGCATATTTTTTACTTATAACTTTCTGTGGCGACTCCTACAGCCACCCTAAAAGGAGGTCTCCAAATGCCATTTGTTTATTCATTAGCTGATACATCTTCGCCTCACCAAAACTTAACTTACATGAATCTGAGTTATTAAATTAAAAAGAAAAAGAAAGGCATGAGAAGAAAAGCAAAACAATTTCGAGGTGTTCACTTACCCATACTTAAGGGACTAAACAAGAGAGAAAATATTTTGTTTCAGCACATAAAATTTACTTCATGAATCAAAGTTGGGTAACACCGTTAATTTTTGAACATATTGTGTCAGTGAGACTAAAGATGCTCAACTTTAGCATACTTAAGGGACTAAATATGCTCAGGGTTATATTTAAGAGACCAAAATAAACATACATTCAAAGATAAGGGACAATATTGATCAAAAACCAGAAATTTTTTAACTAGTTTCTTAGTACATTCACACCCAAAAAGAGATCATACAAATTGCAATATTTAAGGTCACCTTAAAAATGAAGAAACAAATAATTAGTCCTTAACTGCTACAAGTATATCTTCAAAGCCATCTCACATAAAAATCACAACAGGGCAAATAATCTCATCCTCAGCTTCTTAATTTTATTATACAAAATGACTAATACATGATTAGTACTAATAAGTAGCTGAGAAGTCTGCCAGTGAATTCGGAGACCACTACATGACCAGAGAAGCTATACAACAACAATAACTATGCCTCAAAGCTCACATAAATCGAGATCGGCAATATAAATTTTCACTTCTCCATTTAAGCTCGAGGGCTCGACTCGAGCCAACATCATACAAAATAAACTAGAGAAGCTATATATAAAACGAATTACTATTTTGTTCCCATTTCTAGTTAAGAAGCCGTCATTGCTAATTGAATTTCTCCTTCTGTTATCGGCAAGAACCCTACACGTTTCTGTATAACACCAAAAAAGAAAAAAGTTAACCAAAGGAAGATTATACAAATTAAATGTTTTCAAGATTATCTTTAACATCTTTTCCGGTCCTTTTTTTTTCCATTCATTTCTATTAGTGGTGTAACAAAAGTTTACATCATAGTGAGTTATGGGCCGAATAATGTTTCAACGAATTTTAGTTTTCTAAATCTACGTAATCCACTACGTGTTCAGTATCGTAGGCATACGTACACTAGTTTGGTTTAGGTTGGTGTATAAACAATTATGGTTGTTACACTCCCATAAATGCTTAATTCTAACCGGTAGTTAACCAATATATATATATNTTAAATATGTATATATTATAAATTTTGATGAAAAATAAAAAAATTATGTATTTAAACTCATAAAATTTAAATTTTGAATTAGCCTAGTAGGTATAATAAAAAAAACTAAAATAAAGGACAAATAGTTGAAGTTATCAAAGTTTGACTTAGGCGTTGTTTCTGGATAGAATTTGCAGCTTTTGTTAGAGCTAGCAGATATTGTTGATTGAAAGCGCCTAGTAAGACAGAAGCAGTCATTCTTGAAAATAGAATTTCCAGAAAATGGAAGTGTGTAATGTCTCATGTAACTTTGCTGAAACCGAATTGACAATTTAATTTAATCTGTAGGAGCATGTAATCCTATGGTTCTACTAATTGAGTTAATTTTCCAATCAAAAATATGTAAACTAATGTAACTCAATAATTTTTACTTTACTATCTTTAACTAATTCATTTTATTTTATATTACAAATTTAGAATCATCATAAGAAAATATCATTAAAAAGGGAATAAAAAGAAACATGACATGAAATTAAAGTGGATTCATGTCCATAAGGAAGAGAACAATACCTCTCTTGATTTGAGTCCTTTCTTAATTATTCCTCCATTATTATAACTTTGCTCTTCCATCAATGGACCACTTCCACCATTTTTGCTCATGCAAAGTTGCATAATTTTCTCAGCAACATCTCCTTCATCTTTGCACTGCGTCATCAGTTTCTCCACCTCAGCTTTAGGCAGCCTCAACTTTACCCTAACGGAACCACCTATCTCCGCCTTACGTGGAGATGAATTATTATGATACGACGACTCTTCTGTAATAATACTGGGAGGCTTCAAGATTGACAAGTCAGACACAGATCTCCGAGCTAACATTAGGGTTTCGAGCCGATCTTTTGCGCTCATTTGGATTCCTGAACGGACTCTCCTCGGGGGTTTCTCTTCGGGATACTTAGGTAACTCAACTAGGAAATAGAGCCTTTTGGGTTTCAACTCTTGCTGTGGTTCCAATGGTTTTGCTCTGACCCCAAAATGCTTCACTGCTTCGGATTCTAATAATACCATAGTAGGATAATTTTTTAGAACCTCGTTTGCATACAAAGGTGTCTTGAATTTCATTGTTTGTCCATCGATTTTCATCACCTTTGTTGTCTTTTTTCCACCTAGAGTATTCCCCATTGTTTCCTATATTTCTTTGTGACTTATTGGGGGCTTCAAGTTCTGTTTCTTCTTATCATATATAATCAAATCTAACAACCAAATATATAAGATGAAAAAACAATACGGTGAAAAGGCTTGATTTGGGTTTTATTTATAAACCTTTTAAAATCTTGGCACAAGAAGAGAACAAATAATGACAAAGCGGGTGAAAGATAAGGATGTTGGAAATGGGGACAAGAGGGTATAAAAGTAGTTGTTTGTTAATGGGATAAAGAAAGAGTGCGAATTTGAAAATTGGCCATACTTTTGGCAATATACAAATAGATTAATAGTATATATTAAAGCTTTTTTACTTTGTTTTATTTATTATTTACCTTGTCTCGTGAGTTGTGGACTTGTGGTCTTTGTTTCCTTTTAAAATCTAATAAAAGAATGCATATATTGGATAGGATTGATCATTTTCATGCTAAAGAAATAACCATGTTCCCAGATTTTAATGCGAAGAAATCGGATTTTGGAGCCTATCAATAGTTCAACCTTTTACATTTTGGTTGATCATTTTGTTGGTCATCCTTATATATTGTTTTATAATCGATCTTATTATATTGTATTATATTATATTGTGTTAATTTAATGAAATAATATTTGAATAAATTATATTATTTTAAATTATTTCATGATGTTAATGTACCAGCAATTTAAAGAATAAACTTATAATATTATTAAAAAAATAATTGGATAAAATGGGCTTTTCTTCGTTATATAATTACAAATTTAATATTACAATACAATAAAATTTAAATAATAATAAAAATATTATATTTAAAATAATAATATAATACAATACAATATATAATAACCATCCCAAAGAGCTGTTAGGAAAGGAATTGTGATATCAAAATACGCTAGTTTTAGTATCCTTCTTCTTATTAATATTCAATCTCAAAACAATTAAAAAAGAAAAAGAAAAACAAGCCCGTGAATGGTGGGGAATGATTATAGTTAGTAGCGTAATCTGGCAACACTATCATTTAAAATTAGTTAATGCAGTGTAATCTCATTGGTTATTAAAATAATTATTACGGTTGCTTAATGAAAAGACGTATACATAAATCGCGGTGAGGATCCGTGAATTAGTGAGAGATCCCGTTCCATCTATCATGTCCTGTTTTGACCTTAGCTTCTTTTTTGGTTTTTTATCGATTTTTAATATCTGTATTGGGTCCAATTAAATTTGAATTCACGTTCCTTCAGAAAAGTTTCATATTATACGACAAAATATTCCTTAATGAAAACGACATCATATTAAGAACCAGATATAGTGTACTACCTATTGGTTCAACTGAACTCATAACTTTTGATGCGGAGTAAAAATTTATATATAAAAATTCATTAAAATTACAAAAATAATTTATGTGAACTCATAACTTTAAAAATATAATGTGTTCAATGTTAAAAATCTAAAAATTAAATCCATAAAATTTAAAATCTTGAATCCGCCTCTATTAAGAACTTAAATTTGAATAATAAAAAAATAGTACTTATTATTCTATCAAAATCAGTTTTGACCATATGTTTTTATGTGTTAGGAATGATCATAACTTACGCCAAATTGGGACTCGTTCACATTTCTATAACTTGTCCCCATGCTATGTATGTAAATATGCTAAGGCAACCTATAATATTAACCATTCCAATGCACGTAGATCTATGAATGCATGTAAACAAACACTAATTATATATATAATCATACCATGTAAAGGTAAAGTGTGATGGACTGAGAATTTTTGTTTAAGTTATAAAGATGACTTCTAAGTTTGACTTTTTACGTATCCTATGAGTCTAATTTGATGTTCTGGTCCTCGGTTCCGGGCCGAGCCAAGCTTCCCTTTGATGGGCCGGGTTGAGGGTTTTAGATGGGTCTAACCGGGTCGGTTAAATTTATTTTTATAATTTTTTTACTGTATTTTAATTCATTGTTAAAATTGACTTTCACATCAGCTACAAGCAGAATAACTAAACAACAAAAGATAAATAAAGCAACTACCATACATGAAACATGGAATAATATTTCAATCATTATTCGAAATTATTATTATTTCCAACGACTAAAGAAAATTACGACAAAACAATTGTTTTTGTATAATCACAGACTCCTAATTATGTTGTAAAAATTTTCTAATAGTACCAACTGGAGCATTGTTAATAGCATCCTCCTGAATCCCACAATTGCATTTTCCATTCACACAAAAGGGAATAGCATCACGACATTGATACCAACAATCCTTCCATGTTGTGCACGGTTCATCTGAACCTTTCACACTCGACAAGCCTATAAGAAAATAAGAGTTAATTTTTTATAATAAAGTATTATAATTTTTTTTGTTTGAGTAAGGTAACATAAAAGTACTAAACTCATGTAAAATAAAATGTCACTTGACAATAATAGTATAATTTTATAGGCATATAAACAGATTATAAACTAGGATTTCATTTGAATGAGAGAGTAAAAGAGGGAGTAATACATATTGTGATAAGCATCAGACAAACAAAGGAAAGCAAAGTGATGGATGTCTTCTTCATTGCCATATTGAAATGTATGCAATAAATCTATTTTGAAATGTAGCTTGTACGTATACATATCCTCTTTCTTGTTATATATAGTTATGAGTATCAGTCTAATTCAAGGATTGTAATATGAAATGAGTTTGAAAAGATTGGCAAGTAATTTATTCACCATGGTTTGAGGAAGTTAGAAATTAATTTGGTTTCATAGTAGCATAAAACCACTTCCTTAGTTTGAGGCAACAAAATCTAATTGCACTTCCAATTATAATCAATAATACATAAACTTACCAAAATAAAGAAATGGAAAGAAAAAAGAAAAAGTCAAAGATGTGCATGTAGGCAAATAAATTTTCTGAGTCAAAGATCTATTGTGTTTTGAAGAACTTCTGAAAGTGTTTTTGACTACTTTTTATTTGAATAGCGCCTAACATGATTATCATGTTACACCCCACGTTTTCATACGTAAAGTATGTCGTAAGTCAGTTGATGTAAACTCGGAAATGAGATCATCTTTGGAACTACATAAAGTAAGTTAATCATGTTACCTTGGAGGTAATAAATATTTAAAATTATGAACTACAAGTACCAAGAGGGTTCGAAGGTTTAGAAGCTAAACGAATCGAACAAAATAAGTTTCGTTGAAATTAGTCGGTAAGTTGATAATATTATAACCCGTACTTTTAGGGTGATACTAGGCAACTTAACATGATAAGGAGGTGATGTTATGAGGTATTTTAGCCGTATTATAATAGTGTATTTTGTTTTTAAGTCAAACGAATTATGAAACAAAAGTCGACAAAAGTTGCCACAAGTTACGTTTATAATTTTACTTAAAATTTGGAATTAGGGATTGATCCACCCACCAATTAAATATCTATGAGTCTAGTTTCCAACGCATTAAACCGTTTGTCAATACGATATCGAAGTAGAGAGATATTTATATTTTTACGAAACTGCACAAGCAGCTTCCTTTGGGACCCACAAGATCGGTTGAGAATTATCTTGCTATATAAAATTGTGGACTTCATATCTAAGCCTTATTTTGACCAAAATCAAACCTAAAAGATCTTTCTAGACATCCTAAATACATCCTTAGGGTTTTGAAGAAATTCCACCATCCGCAACGTAAAATCAAGACGCGAACGCATCAACGCAATCCTTACGACATTTGTAAGACTTTGTCGTTCTCCTTTCTCCTTATAACTCATGTTTTGGAAAGAGCTAAATGGATAAGGAAGCTTATCACCTCTGTGTTTTATTTATACAAGCATAAGTAAGGGTGTGCATCAAAGGCAACAAGGTTTGGAAGCAAGAACACAAGAGGTATGTAGGGTTTTCATTTCATTTTCGGCATGATTTGGTCTAGCTAAGTTCTAGCCTTTCTTCTTAATCTTTTAAGAGATTTTCAAGGTAAATTTTATCATGTATTGTATCTTTGTATAGTATTCAATTCCATATGTGAAGTATGGCAGACACTAGTTTAGGTTAGAACTTAAAAACACAACAAAAATAAAAAGGGCGATTCTATGCTAGCTGGACTTCCGTTTGTTCTGTTCCTTTGATATTTTTATGTATACCTAACCCCCATCTTATCCTAATAGTTTTATTTAAGATTACAAGCTTAATTATCATGTCTTGATACTTAGATTATTCCTAAATCATATTTAGACTTTCATGTTACAAGTAAGCCATTATGAGTCGACATAACATTCATAATTCTACTTTGCCGATCGTTTGACACTATTATGGATAACTAGATCTCCTTTAGTTGATGTTATCATCTTGTCCGGGTATCCATTCTCATGTATATTGTGGTGCTTGTTGTTGTCTTTGGGGATCATCAAGTTTTAGGGGAAACTCTGTCGAAAGTTTTGGAAATTCGAAGAGTTGGACATATCTTGAGTTTCTTGGTTCTAAATTGATTATAGAGGGATCCTGATGAGTTAATTAGCCGTAGTATCTCATGTGCATACTCAATTTCTCCCTAAAATGAGAATAGGCTCCTCTGTCCAACTTATGGATGATGAGTGTTAGGTTACGATTGTGATTCTATTTATGGTTTCTTTCATAATCTCTTGAGTCCATATGATGCTGCCACATATGTTATGCCTCATACATGCTTACATTGATATGCTGGGGGATATAGCCCATAACTCAAGCGAATCCTATTGATTATATGCTGGGGAAGATAGCCCATAACACCGGCCGAGCTTATTGATTATATATTTACCTACTGAGGGAATATAGCCGATAACACCAGTCATGCAGATTATATATGCATATATAGCTACAATTTGCATTGTGTGACTATACATGAGGCTAGTTCAGATATACAGTTACTTGATTGGGGGGAAATAGCCCATAACGTCAGTCAGGTACCAGTTTAAATGGTAGTTCAGTTTCAGCACGATTTCATCTTAAACATCGGTTCAGTTCCAGAGTGGCTGCTAGTTCAGACTCTTGTTTAGCTTTCATCTTATATTTAGAGTTCCAGCTTACAGTCATGCTTTAGTATGCTCATATGCTTTCCACCCTACATACTTTGTACATATCGTATACACGTCCCTTCTGAGGCACTGCGTTTCATGTCGCGCAGGTACAGATAGATCAGCGCTTAAGTCACATCAGTAGCCCATCCACCAGCTATTGGAGTCACTCCACTTATTCCCAGAGTTACTTAT